AGCAGGAAGCAGACAGGCACTCACTCTAAATAAAGTTAGAAAATAAAAACTCGGAAGCTATGTTAAAATAAAAAATCTTCAACCCAGTCTTGCAGATACTGATCCCAGAACTCCTGATGATTTCAGAAACCTTCTGCAAAATTTGGCCTTTGGGCTGGGAGGGGGCAGTTCTGAGGTATAGGTTAAGTTTACACTGAAGGTTATACGCAAAGAGAAGCTTGCTGAGCTGAAGCATATTTTTAGCATAAACAAACATTTAAAGATAGAAGCATCAGAATAGTTGCTGTCTTTTGTCTCCATCTGTTACCTGCTATTTCAAGTAACAGCTCGTTCACATTAACTATCGTGTGTCCAATTTTAGTTAGTTAGTTTGCAGTGGGGGGGAACTCTGAGAAGATAAACATCAGTTTGATCTTAAGCAGAACAGGAGAAAGGGACACCAGGATTTTAGTAATGCAGTGGTGTACGCTATGGCCAAATCATGTTTGCTGTTCTGGCTTCAGCAGGAGTTATTTAGGACTCACAGAGAACACAATTCAGCTCATGGTTAGTAGAGTGGAAAGTGAAATACAGTGCAGGTGTCCCTAATACACACCCCTCTAGCAAGCAGTTAGGCTGAGACCATACATTAAAACAGAAAAGGAAATTGGTTTTCAGGAAGTTCTAACCACCTCCACCTAAAAGGGAGATCTGCTCTAGCAAACCTGAGTTAGGAAACAGAGTAATCAAAGAAATCAAATACAAACACACTTCAGCAGAGTGCCACTTAGCATGTTTCTGTAAATAGCTATTACTCAGTAAAACACATGTTCAGGGGCACATTACCAGCAGCATTTTTATATCAGCCTAATAAGCCAATTTATCTCTTGCAGCCTGTTTGTTCTCACCTGGCCCAGAGCCTTAGGTGTCTGTGTGTGGTCTTGCTTGGATACCTGCTACCTTCCCTCACCTTAGGAGCCATCTTGGAGCAGGCAGTCTACAGTATTTGAGGTAATGTTTTACCAAGGAATTAGAGAGTCACCATCTAACTTAGAGTAGGAGGTTTGGGGCTGTCTAACGTTTATGTTGGCAGTAACAGCCTCCCTGTAGTATTGTAGGGCCTCTTCTGGGGTGAACAAGATACTTTCTGTAGAGAAGGACATAGCTGGGTTACAAGGCCCTACTGGCTCTGAGCATGACCAGCAGCACTTTGGAGCAAGGTCACAAGTCCTGTCAGAAAGTGCTATAAGTGGTTGTGCTTCTGGGAGAATCTTCTTTCTCTCAGACCAGAACTCCCAAAGCCTCCTGGATGGCTTTAAGATCTAGGCCATGTTGGGTGGTTTCTTTCTGGCAAGAGCCAAGGAGCATTAGTGAGGTTTCCAGCATCATAAAGAGAAACTGGAGGCATTTGACTGCTACCTTTTGTAAATAGTTTCACTGGCTAATGAGGCAGCATATGGAGAAGTTACTGTTTCTTAGGCTTGTTTGTCACTATAACACCTTACATTTTTACTCCCATTACCAGGGAGGATGTTCAGGTTTGTTCAAGTCACCATGCTTATTTGTTTTTCTTTTTTTCTTTTTTTTTAAATTTGATTTACCTCCATGGAAACTGTGTTTTGTCTCTAATCTCATGTGTTTCCTCATTTCCTATCCATGAACTTGGCTTCTGCAATCTTTTATATTGGGGGGGGAAGGAGGAGGGGGCAGGGAGGCTGTATTAAATCATTCACTAGTAGCCTAATCCAGCTCTTGTTTCAAGTACTAGAAAAAAATCCCACCAAATCCATCCTTTCAAGCAGTAAGGGCTGTTAGTCATTCCAGATCACTGTGCCCGATTTGCAATAGGCTGGCGTTAGGTAAGTGAGAGCTGTTTAAGCTATTCTGTGGTGCTTTCTGTTACTGAAACCTCTTTTCAGTGGAGAATTTTGAGGATCAGAAACCCAAACCTTGGCTGAAAAATTAAACAAGTTTTTTCAGGTAAACTTGTAATCTAGCCTTACTGTCTAACATACCACCTTTTTTAGTTTCTTAAGCCTTGGCTGGTCCGTCTATCAGGCCATTCCACAGCAACTGCAAGAGGCCTGGTGCTGGCTGTGGCACTGTTCAACTTAACAACTGCAATTTGCATGTGCCTGATACTAATTTAGCTTGTTGTCTGTGTGAAATTGTTTGGGTTTAGATTTTGCTATATTTTTGGCTGTAGGTTGCTCATAGGCAGTACCTGGAGTATTTGCTGGCCTGCAATCAAGAAAACCTTCCGGTTAGGGACAGAGAAGAGCCTGAAAAAAGGTTAGGAGTCTTCGTTCACTCTGTGCGCTCTCTCTAGAATCTAGTGAAATCAGACAAATATTGTAACTGATTTCAGAGGGGTTTGAACCAGGCCTTATGAGCCTAAGGAAGGCCATGAGAGAGAGCAGGGAGGAGGCAACCTGGAGAAATCTGTTCCTTGGGTTTAGTTCCCTTGTAGACAAGAGGCACTGCAGAAACTAGCCACCAAAAATTGCAGAATTGTAAAAGACTTGGCTGGAAAGGGAGGAGAGGAAAACATCCTACACCTCAGTTAGCCCACTTCCCTTCCCTGCTCTATGGGGAAACGGAAAGGCTGGTGTGTAGGGTTATGGCTCAGGAAGTTGGAACTTCATCCCTTCTCACATAACTCACTTGCACAGGTGAACACCAATTTATCAAGTTCATAGAGACTATCCAAACCCTTTTGTATAATCAAATTACTGGTACTTTAGTCCTGTGACACTTAAAGAGCTGTTCCTGGAGCTTC